GTCCTGTGCTACATTAATGTACGAGCTAGAGAGAAAAAGAACCTGAATCGCACAAACACTCGCGGTTTACACAGAGAGAGGAATGCGGCTTGGCTTGCTAAGTTCTATCTCGCTAAAACACCTTTACAGACTGGTGGGAGTTGGGCATGCGACTTGGGACTAAAGATGAACAATTCACACACATATTCTCCCCAGAATGTGTCTTGGTTGTGCGAGTTGAAGAGAAGAAACCCTGAACAGCATAAACACTCGCGGTTTACACCAAGATAGGCATGCGACTTAAGCTAAAAGATTTAAAGCGCACAAAGCTGTTTCTATGGCTGTGCGAGTCAGGCCTGCAGGATGGGGAGCACTTGACCAACTCGCACACTTGAGATTTTACCCATCAAGGCCGGGTCAGGACCTGGTTTGTTCAGGGCTGACCCGGTCCGCAAGAGACACTATGTATGTTTTTTAGGGTTTTTCCAATGGACAAGCTTTATTCTCCTTAATTTCTTTGCCTCTTTTGTGAAAGACTCCTTTGTGCGATTAAAGAAATATCCCTTTTAAAGAGTTTGAATCAATAGAAATCAGAGATCTTAATAACTTTTTTCTGAAGAAAAAAGAAGGCACGTCAGCAGCAGGGGCGATAAAAAAGGCAATTTAGGGTTTTCCCAAGCTTCAAGGGCACGCGACGGCTCCGGCCATGACGGCGCAAGGACAGGAGGTCCTCCTGTCGCCGGAGGAGGGGCAGGCGATGAAGGAGGCGAGTGTGGATGGCATTGAGGTGACTGGTACCGAGGTAGGAGTTCTGAAATCTCCAGCTGAGGGGCCGATGCAAAACTTTCCAAGTGAAGCAGAGGAGCCCGCGCCGCGCAAGATGCCGCAAACAGTTGCAGACAAAAATTCACAGGAATCAAACCCAGTGACAAAGTTGTCAGAACTTGTGAAAAAATGGGAATCGCTCGAGATGTATGATTTGGAAACAAACGAAGTCGAGGGGGTGAAGGTGTTTCGGGTTCCGGAGGATGTTTTGAATGAAGCACCATTGTGGGAGGACTGTATTCTGGGGAATTTCCTCAAGACAGTCCCTCATATGGGTTCTATTCACATGACAGTGAATAGATTATGGTCTGTGGGAAAAAAAGCGATCAAGGTGGATGTTTTTGTGGTGAATGATACAACGGTGAAGTTTCGCATTGCGGACAGAGCTATGAGGGAGAGAGTGTTGCGGAGGAAGATGTGGAACATAAAGAATATTCCAACGAAGTGGAGCCCAATGGATGAGGAGACTCAACCGGCTCTGGAATCAATCCCTTTATGGGTGATTATGAAAAACGTACCTCGCAAGATGTACAACTAGAAAGGTTTGAGCTGTTTGGCGAGTCCGGTGGGATTACCAAAACAGCTGCATCCTGATACTTTATGGATCAAAAATTTTGATGAAGCAAAGATTTTGGTGGAGGTTGACCTGACCAAAGCTCTCCCGACGTCACATTGTTTCGAAGTGGGAGATGACACACACGAAATTGAGTATGTATTCCCATGGCTGCCTCCTAAATGCTCTGTATGTGGGGTATGGGGCCATGCTGATTCGGAATGCAAACAGAAACAGAGCCCCTCGAGGATTTTGAAGAGAGGAGAAGTGTTGGATACTCAACCCAAGGAAACTGATGCTTCTGGTTGTACCCCGCGAACCCAGAGAGCAGGTAGAACTACAGATACTGTCCCAGTTGAGAGGGCGATTGCGACTATTATTTCATCTGCTACTCAATCAAAGAAGAAGGAAAAGAAAGCTAGTAAGCCTGCAAACTAAATACACCAAATCGAAAAACAATGCAAGTGCACTAGCATCTGACAAGGGTAATGAGGAGTGGCAGTCACCATCAAAAGTAACAAGACAATCACCAGCTGTGACGCAGAAGGCTGTGGATATTCCAATTTCGCCGCGATTTTCAACTCTTCTCCTTGAGGAAGCAGTAAAAAAGTGAAGAAGAAGATTCGGATGTCGAGGAAGTAAAGAAGAGTGGGGATGAATCGGATGAAGTAGAGGTGAAGACGGGAGAGATCCCAGACACGAATTCTAATACGCTGCCTGTGGGAGCTGATGGAGTTCAGTGAGGGAATAAAGTGGGCACGGAGGAAAGTCGTGCAAATCCTAGCAGAGCGGCAAAGACTTCCCATAAAGGTGTACCAAGCTCTTTAATTCAGCGCGCTACGGGCAATGGTCGTAAGGCGTCCAGACAGAAGAGGCAGAATACTAAAAGAAATAAGCATTAATGGTGTGTTTTTTTTGGAATATACGTGGATTTAACAAAAAGTGTAAGCACTCGGTGGTGGGAGATTGGGTTTGTGGAAACTCTTTCAAGTTTGGCTGTATTTTAGAGACACGAGTAAAGGAATCGAAGCATGTTGATATCGCGACATCTGTTTTTCCGGGTTGGTCAGTGGCATCTAACTATGAGTATAACCATCTGGGTCGGATTTGGGTATTGTCGCAGGATGACGTAAACCTCACGGTATTACAGAAAATTACACAAATGATAACATGTAAAGTTTCTTTTTGCGATCAAGAGGAAATTATATGTTCATTTGTTTACGCTGAGAATCTGGATACTGAACGCAAGGGCTTATGGGAAGAGATTACATCCCTTTACAATTCCACTACTTGCAGGGATAAGAAATGGATGTTATGTGGTGATTTCAATGAGATTTTGGCGAGTGAAGATCATTCTGATGAAAGCTTGGCGATTACTGCACATGGGACCTTAGACTTTCAAGAAACAGTTCGTGTATGTTCCTTGGTAGACATGGGATTGAATGGACCATGGTTCACTTGGAGTAATAAAAGAAAGGAAGGATTAATATCTAAGAAGATTGACAGAGTTTTAATCAATGAGGGGTGGTTACTAAATCAGTCACAATCTCATTGTGTCTTTGAGGCTGGTGGCTGCTCAGATCATTTGCGAGGAAAGATCTATTTTGATAGCACAAGACCATTCATTAGGAAGCCATTCAAATTCCTGAACTCTCTAGCGACCTTACCGGAATTCTTACCAGCAGTGCAGAATCACTGGGATCATTCTGATGCTCTGTTTTCTTTGACGTCGTCAATGCACCGTTTATCAAAGAAGTTAAAGGACCTGAAGCCTAGACTCCGTCAGTTATCCAAGGAGCGGTTCAGTGATCTGTCTAAGAGAATTAAAGCCACTTTTGAGGAGCTTTGTCGAAGGCAAGAGCAGAATGCCTCAATTCCGACTGTGGCGGGTATGGAAGCGGAACAGTTGGCTCTTTCGAAGTGGGAACGTCTTAGTGAGCTGGAGGAGGCCTATCTGAAGCAAAAATCAAAGCTCCATTGGGTGAACGTTGGGGATAGAAGCAACAAGGTTTTCTTTCGGGCTGCGCGCATACGTGAACATAAAAACAACATAAGAGAGGTTGTAAAATCTGAGGGTATTGCGCTAAGGTACTTGAGTGACATCACGGGGGAGGCTGAAAGACACTTCCGTGAATTTTTAACTTCTATTCTATCAGATTATAATGGAATACAAGTAGATGAACTAGAAAGTTTGCTGAATACTCGATGTTCATCTGATGATTGTGTACTTCTGGAGCGTGACGTCACTGCAGATGAGATTATGCGAGTGCTGTTCTCAATGCCCAATAACAAATCCCCAGGTCCAGATGGCTTTACGACAGAATTCTTTAAAGGCGCTTGGAGCATAATTGGAAATGATGTAATTACTGCAGTACAATCATTTTTCAGATTCGGTTTTCTTCCCAAAGGAGTGAACTCGACTATATTGGCATTGATTCCGAAAAAGAATGATGCAAAGGAGATGAGAGACTATCGTCCGATTTCGTGTTGCAATCTTCTGTATAACGTCATTTCGAAAATTCTAGCGAATCGACTGAAGGGAATTCTCCCAAGTGTTATCATCCCAAACCAATCCGCGTTTGTGAAAGATCGTCTTCTTGTAGAGAATGTTCTGTTAGCGTCTGAGCTGGTTCAAGATTATCACAAGGAAAAGGGTACGCCTACATGCGCAATGATGATAGACATAGCTAAGGCATTTTACACCGTCCAATGGAGCTTCCTGATTAATGTCCTCAAAGCTCTCGGACTCCCAGCAAAGTTTATAGATTGGATCAGATTATGTATTACCTCTGCTTCTTTCTCGGTTCAGGTGAACGGCAAATTAGCAGGCTATTTCCAAAGCACTCGAGGTCTGAGGCAAGGTTGCGCGCTTTCGCCGTACCTTTTTGTAATCTGTATGAATGTGTTATCTCGATTGTTAGATCAAGCAGCTGAAACAAATCGGTTCGGCTACCACAAACACTGTTCTAAGCTGAACCTCGCTCATTTGTGCTTTGCCGATGACCTGATGGTATTCTCAGATGGTTAATTAAGATCTATTGAAGGGGTCGTAGAGGTGTTTGAGAAGTTTGGAACCATCTCAGGATTAAAGATCAGTCTCCAGAAATCTACATTATTTATGTCGGGTTTGAGTGATGCTGATCGTGCAACTATCATTAAGCGATTTCCCTTTGCTATAGGTGAACTACCTGTTCGATATTTAGGCCTCCCTCTGATGTCAAAAAAGATGGGAAAGGATGACTATGCACCACTAGTGGAAGGCGTGCGAAAAAGGATAGGGTCCTGGACAGCTAGACACTTGTCTTATGGAGGGCGACTACAACTTTTGATCTCTGTTATTTCGGGCTTAACAAATTTTTGGATGTCTGCATTTCAGCTGCCGAGAAGCTGCATAAAGGAATTAGACTCTCTATGCAGTGATTTCTTATGGTCAGGACCTGCGCTGTGCACGAAAAAAGCAAAATTTTCTTGGCAAGATGTTTGCAAGCCAAAGAGAGAAGGAGGTTTGGGTATCTGTTCTCTGCGGAAAGCAAATACAGTCTGCTGTTTGCGAATTATTTGGAGGCTGCTGTCAAACAATGGTTCGCTATGGAGTTCATGGATTAGAGAGTATTTACTCAAAGGTAAATCTTTCTGGTCATTAATGGAGGCTCCAGCTTCAGGGTCATGGATATGGTGCCATTTACTCAAATTGCGAAGCACTGCACGTCCATTGCATCGTATGAAGGTGAATGATGGGGAGAGCACATCGTTTTGGTATGATGCTTGGAGTGACCTGGATCCATTAGTTGAGCTTGCTGGGGTATCGGGGTTTATCGCACTTGGGATATCTCCGTCTGCATCTGTTGCTTCGGTTATACGATCTCATCGAAGCAGGAGACATCGACGTGATGATCTGAACTCGATTGAAGATATTATCTCTTTGGTTGCAGGGAATTTAAATCAGAAAAACGATCACTCGCTCTGGAAATCAAAATCGGATAAATTCAGTTCTAAATTCGTGTCAGAAACTACTTGGCACAACATCTGGCACTCATCACCTCTACAGCGATGGAGCTTTGCAGTTTGGTTTCCGGGGAATACGCCCAAATTCGCTTATATAACGTGGCTTGCTATGCAGAATCGACTGTCAACTGGGGAAATAGTGAAACAATGGGGACCTGGAATGTCTACTCGGTGTGTGCTCTGTTTGGTCCCAGATGAAACCAGAGAACACTTATTTTTTGCATGCCAATTTTCAGAACAGATATGGAGATCCCTCACCTCTAGACTGTTGGGACGTACCTACTCCAACAGATGGCGATCGATTGTGGACCTACTCACGTCTTCGCGATTGGCTGGGACGCGATTGTTCCTTGCAAGGTACATCTTTCAAGCCTCGCTTGTGACGATATGGAAGGAACGGAATCGACGCAGACATGGAGAAGGACCAACCTCTGCGCAAGCTCTGATTCACACCCTGGATAAAGCAATGCGCAACCGACTAAGTTTGCTACGAAACGCTGGGGATTATCGATATGCGGACAGCCTTGAACTCTGGTTTGACTCACGGACATGAAGCTTGAACCTCTCCGTTTTCTTTTAAAACATTTTGTGTTTGCAGATTTATTTCTTTCTCTCTTTTAACTAAGTAGATGTAAAGAAAACAGTTTTTTTTAAAAATTAATTTAACCTAAATTTTCAAAAAAAGAAATCAGAGATCTTTGTGTGATTAAAGCTGCAATCCTTCTTATCTATCATCTCTATCCATCATTAATCATGCTTAACAACACATCTTGCAAAGGATTGATTGTGTTAAGTATGATTAGTGAGTAGTTACCTTAATGAGGTTCTAGATGTGTAGGTTAGGGTGCTAAAGTGTTAGATTAGGAGTGCTTAGGGCTAGATCCATGCTTTCATTGTTCCAAACTGCTGTTCTCTTAGATAGATCCTTGCACATCACTTGTGATCTAGATTCTGGGAATTTCATGCACCAAAAGTATTTGATGAAACTCCTGAAAGAGCTGTATTAGAGGTTTATGCATTAACTACATGATGATGTTTTGCTATTTGCATAAATGATCACTTAGAACTGATTCTTAATGCTGTCTTGTTGTTTGATCTCCAATGATGATTGGGTATGTGAAATAACTTGATTTGTGTATCGATGCTTGGGAAAGATTAAGGCTTGATTAGAGTTCTAAATCATTTGATTCATCTTTCATCACTATCATTAGCATTTCTAGTTTAGCACCAAAGCACCCTTACTAGCTATCATGTCTAGAATCTCATGCTTCCATCATTTCATATTCATATCATTTGTCATTTGCTGCTTGTTTTGATCATTTGCTTAGTCATTAATCTTGTTTAAGTCTTTAGTAGTCATTAGTTTAAATCAAAACCTCACTTGTTTACTTGAATTAAGAAATAGATCACATAGCTTAGTGTCTAGCTTCCACATGCTTGGTTTGTCACCCTTTATACTACATTGATTAACGGGAGTGATAGCCCTCAAGACCTCAAAAATATTGTCTATCAAGTCTTATGATCGATGTTCTTCTTGATATTCTCATGCATCTGCTTGACCAACTCAGCTATCTTTTTACCACCCATTCTTACACGCCCACTCAAAGGTAAAAGAGTTAGATACAAAGGGGTAAGCGGATTAAAACAATAGACAAGGTCTAGAAGTTGTGGTCCACCATTTTCTCGGAACGACAACATCAATCTCTTAGTGCCAAGAAGAAGAAGAGATAGACGTGCAAGGGAAAGTGATAGAGCAGCTGATATGGAGCAACAGAGAGAGCACCACGTGGTTGACATTGAGCACCAGGTTCAGGAAGAGCAACAGGCTCAGCATGGTAATGGAGCTCAAAGGAATCAGGCTCAAGCTGAGAGGAATGAGCAGCAAGCCTATGTCAATATAAACATGGCACAAAGGAATGAGAGACAGGCTCAGCAGAATCAGCAGCAGGCTAATAGAAATGAGCAACAGGCTCAATTCGTTCCTCAGCATCAAGCATAAAGGAGACAAGATCCTCCACCAGTGTTTGTTGGGGAAAATGATAGAGCCAATGCACACCAGCATAGAGCAGGAATCCAAGCACCACCAGTTCAGAATAACAATTTTGAGGTGAAGGCTTCCTTACTCAACATGGTTCAAAACTCCAAATTTCATGGTTTGCCAATGGAGGATCCTTTGGAGCACTTGGATCAGTTTGACAGGGTTTGTGACCTCACCAAAATCAATGGTGTCTCTGAAGACAGCTTCAAGCTCAGGTTTTTCCCATTCAGCTTAGGAGACAAGGCACACCAATGGGAAAAAAACCTGCCTAGAGGTTCCATACAGACTTGGGAGCAGTGCAAACTTGCCTTTTTATCCAAGTTCTTCTCTACTTCTAGGACAGCTAAGCTGAGAAACCAGATTTCAAGCTTCAAGAAACATAACAATGAAATATTTGGGGAAGCTTGGGAGAGGTTTAGAAGCTACACCAATCAGTGTCCACACCATGTTTTTCTGATGCCATTCTACTTTCTACACTGTATAGAAGAGCTTTACCACAGATAAGGAATCAATTAGACACAGCCTCCAATGGTAATTTCTTGGCAAAAGAGATTACATCTGCTATGGAACTTGTGGTGAATTTGGCCATGTCTAATGACACATATGGTGAGGATTATGACAGGACAAACAGATCAGAGGGTTCAAGCTCAGATCAAAGGCTTACTATAGAGGTTAAAGAGCTGAGGAGTGAACTAGAAAAGCTGAAATTGGTTTCTCAAAAACCAATTCACTATGTTTCTGAGTTTAATGATTCTCCAAGCTTTGAGAACATTAATGAAGATGGCCTCACAGAGGAAGAGATCAAGTATATTGGGAATCAACAGAGGTTTCAGAGGTTCAACAACTATGGAGCCAACCAAAACCTCTCATACCGCAATCCCAATGTAGCAAATCCTCAGGATCAGGTGTACCCTCCTCAGCAAAACCAACAAAGCTATGCTCCTAAGCCTCAGTTTCAGAGTTCTTTCCAGCCTAAGCCACAGTTCAGTCAGCCTCAGCAGCAATATGGTCAACCACAACATCAGAATCTGGTCAGCAACTTCAGTTCTCCACAGCAACAGCTTAAAGCGCCTCCAGGTTTCAATCAGCAGCCGATGGTTCAGAGTCAGCAGATGGGACCAGATATGTGTGGGCTACTACAGCAGTTGCTACAGGGTCAACAAAGAGCTGTGAGTCAGTATGCTTCCATGCAGCAGGAGATAAGGGAGCTGAAACAGAATCAGGCTTCCACTTCAAGAAGCCAATGAGTTCTACCTGGTAAGCTAGAACCAAACCTAAAAGAGTATGCTAAAGCCATTACATTGAGAAGTGGCAAAGAGCTACCAGGTTTAGAACATAACAATGTGATCATTGAGTACAATGATCAAATTAGTGGGAGGCAGCCCCAAGGGATAATCAAGAAGCTGAAAGAGCAGTGAAAGGTAAGGCCAAAGAGGTGGAAAACACACCAGAACCAGAGAAAGTCTTTGTTCCACCACCACCCTATCAACCCAAGTTACCATTTCCAGGCAGGATTAAGAAGCAGCTTGTATATAAGGCAAGAGCAGTCTTTGAGAAGACTCTTAATGAGACACCACTCACAATGCCTCTCATTGAAGCATTTCTGATGATGCCTAAGCTTGGGAAGTTCTTAAAGGATGTCATCTTGAACAAGACTAAAGAGATTCAAGGTATGGTGGTGCTTAGCCATGAGTGTAGTGCCATCATTCAGAGAAAGTCAGTCCCAAGGAAGCTGTCTGATCCAGGGAGCTTCACTCTCCCTTGTGCTTTAGGACCATTGATGTTTGTTGGATTCTTTGTGACTTGGGAGCATCTGTTAGCTTAATGCCGTTTTATATAGCAAAGAAGCTTGGATATAGAGTGTTCAAACCTGCTAGAATCTCTCTTATCCTAGCTGATAGATCAGTAAGGCTACCTGTTGGGATGTTAGTGGACTTGCCATTCAAGATAGGCGGTTTTGAAGTGCCTACAGATTTTGTTGTTCTAGAGATGGATGAAGAACCGGTTGATCCACTGATTTTGGGCAGGCCATTCTTGGCCACAGCAAGAGAAATTATTGATGTAAGAGGTGGCATCATTGAGCTACAACTTGGTAAAGAAAAGCTGAAGTTTGATATCAAGGACATGATGAAAAGCCAATCATAGAAGGACAATGCTTCTATGTAGAGACCATGGATCAACTAGCTGATGAACTGCTTGAGGAGTTGAATACTGATGATCCTCTTCAAGTTGCTTTAACCAGAGAACAAGGAGACCATGGGTTCTTGGCAGAGGAGAGTGAAGGGTACAAGCTGTTTTTGGACCATGCAAGGGAACTTGGTTCAGAGACAAAGTTTCTGGAACTAGAAGCAAGTAGTCTTGAGGTCTTGGACATCAGAGGCTCAAATACAAGCCAGGAAGCAGTTCAAAGAGTCATGGCCGTGGGTTCTAAAGTGGAGGAGCAGGCTAAGCCGTGTGAGCTATTGAACGACAAGGGAGCTGCTGATAGCAGGAATTTTTCAATCCTTGATCAATTCCTCAACTACTCATGTCATTGTAGCACTTGAGGTATCAATCCAAATGGAGAGATTCTAGACACTAGAACTATGAGGAGCTATCTTAATTCAAGTCTAACAAGCGGATGAGTTGGTAACAAGGTGATCTAAAATATAAAGTAAACAAAAAAACAAGCAGTAATTTAAGAACAAGCAACAAGACAACAAAACAAAGACTCAGATTCAAAACAAAGAGAAAGCTAAACCTCTAGATGTGATCATTGATTAGGGTGCTTTAGAGATTTATTCATGATGCTAAGAACAATAATGCAATGCAAGTTACTCTTTAGTCTAGACTTCAAAAGCAGATTAATTCATTCCCATGACAATAAACTCTTTGTAAATCACTTAATCAAGATTAATTCACCTTAAGCAAGATCAAGCAATCAACAAGCATAAAGTATCAAGTCTAATAATGACCAAACGGTTTCTATTTCAAGGAGACCGAATCTTACACAGAAAGCAGCAACAAGCAATCACATGATCTCAAAACCAATTAACTTAGAACTCAAATCTAGACTAATCCTCTCATGAAGGCATTAATCTCTATACTAATCCACTTTCAAACCAAATCATCATTTGTGAAATATGAATCAGTGAGCATTAAGAAACAGTTCTAATATGTCATTCATGCATTTAACAAATCATTCCCATGATGAAAAAGGCATAAACCCTTAGCTTAGCTCATTCAGACATTTCATCAAACACCTTGTGGGTGGAGAAATGACTAAGGTCTAGATCAGAGTGATGTGAAAAGATCTAGCATTAAGAGCAGCTAACTAAGGAAAGGAGATGAGAATCTAGAACCTAAACATCATAAACCGATCATCTAAGCACCCTAATCTACACACCTAGAAGCTTAAAAGATAACTACTCACTAATCATGATTAACACACCATTTCCTTTGCAAGAGGTGGTGTTAATCATGATTAGAAGCAGAGATGAGATGATTAGATGATAAGAAATAGCTTTAAGATGATTAAATCTGCTAGATATCTCTTGATCAAACTCGTTTTTACACTAAGAAGCAGAGAAAAAACAAAAAGAGGCAGATTAGAGGATAAGATAAAGCATAACTAGGGTTTTAGTCTCTAAAAACTATTTATATAAAAGGGTGTGGGCCGGGTCAGCCCAGGACAAACTGGGTACTGACCCGCCCTTTCTGGGTTGCTGGAGCCACCCCTCGCCATCTGAAGAAGTCTCACACCGAGGGCCATACACCAGGGGGTCATGTGCTGGGTTGAAACTTTGATGAACACTTGAAGAACATGCATGAGACTTGGCATTTGATCCGGTTAAAGCTTTGAAACGTGAAGAGGATTTGTTTGTGATCTGGGTTGGAGAGATGAGGACCTCGGCATACATGCCGAGGTGCCTGGTACCCGAGGTTTGTGTAACATAGGAGCTCGGCATAGCATGCTGAAGGGTTCACACCAAGGTCTGCTTCAACACTTAGTCGTTTGGGGATCATTTTGGTGATCAAGGGAGCCTCGGTGTTGAAAGGCCGAAGTCCTACCTCGAGGTATAGTCCCAAGGCTTCGTAAACATGCCTCCTCGGCATACATGCCGAGGTATTCACGCCGAGGTATTCACGCCGAGGTAGGACACAGCTCTTAGCTTACAGTTGCATCTCTTAAAACCCGAATTGAGCAGCTTCTCTTCTGTTCAGTGTAACTTTCAGCTCGTAACTCCAAATGACCTGAAACCAGTTCCATGAGAAAGATAACTCATTCAGCTCAATCTTTGGTGAAGAAACTATCGGCGCTTGGGAAGTGGAAGGCTTCCTGGAGGGCTCATCTTCGCAATGCATTTACACGATCAGAGAAAGGCGTCTAGACATGTGTCCATTCCGGAGACGTTAAATTCTTGCTCATACATTTGAATTGGATGATATTGGACGTTCTGGAAAGAGGACTCAAACATCTCTGATTCTTATGAAGACCCCGGAAACTGAATCTGCCTGGAAGTGCGCCGTCCTTCGCATTCTTCGGAGCTCATCGGGTCGGTCCAAGACGGCAGCGAGACAGGGGTTTCTTCCGACGAGCTCAAATTTCTGCTCACGCGTCCGAATTCCATTATTCCACTTGCTATGGAACCATGATCCAATCGTCTCCAACTTTGATGAAGCCCCCGACAACTGAATCGGACCGGAAGGTTCCCCGGACAGGCGATCATTCAGGAGTATCGGATTGCTCCGGAATGGATGCGAGAGAGGTCTGTCTTCCGATTACCATATCTTTCAGATCCGTGGGCCAAATGCTTTGATTCTAACTGTTCTGAACTCTTGACTCAGTTATCTCCAACTTTTATGAAGACTCCGACAGCAGAATCGGCCGGCAAGATCTTCCGGTGACGCGATTTCGGAAATGTATCTGTACCCGGGATTTTTGGCCGAGAGACTTGACCGCGGTACGTGTTTTTGGCCGAGAAAGCTACCCGCGGAAAGGATTTTGGCCGAGGATCTTCGACTTTCAGTACAGCATTTTGCCGAGAAACCCAAAATTGCTCCTTTTTACCATTTTTGATCATTCCAACTCCATTTCTTCATCTGAATCACATCCTCCACTCCAAATTGGCTCCAAAAGCACCTGTTTAACACTCCAAAACATGCAAAACTCTCTTGGACCTAATGTAATCTCCTAAGTCCTAAAACAATGCTTAAAGACCTAAAATGCATGAGATAAGACATGATTTGGACTAAAATATGTACACCTAATGATGCAATTTATGAATATATCAGCTGCAACCGTGCAAGACAGATTCAGTGCTGATTGGGATGAGTCCAAAGCACCCCCTGTTGAGCTCAAGCCTCTACCAACAGGGCTCAGGTATGCATTCCTTGGCTCTAACTCTTCATATCCTGTCATTATTAATGATAACCTGTTAGCTCATGAAGAACATACATTATTGAGTGAACTTAGAAAATTCAGGAGAGCAATAGGTTAATCCCTAGCAGATATTAGAGGGATCTCTCCTGATATCTGCACCTATAGGATCCACCTAGAGGACCAATCCATGTCCTCTATTGAGCACCAGAGGCGCCTTAACCCCAATCTCAAAGAGGTGGTTAAGAAGGAGATACTCAAGCTTCTTGAGGCAGGAATCATATACCCAATTTCTGAATCAAGATGGGTATCTTCTGTCCATGTGGTGCCCAAGAAAGGTGGTGTCACAGTGGTGAAAAATGAAAAGGATGAGTTAATAGCTACAAGAACCATAACTGGACACCGCATGTGTAATGATTATATGAAGCTTAACTCTGCATCTAGAAAGGATCATTTCCCATTGCCATTTATTGATCAGATGCTTGAGAGATTAGTTAACCATCCTTAATTCTGTTTTCTTGATGGGTACTCGGTTTCTTTCAAATACCCATAGATCCCCGAGACCAAGAGAAAACTACATTCACATGCCCCTACGGCACTTATGCATATAGACGCATGCCATTCGGTTTATGTAATGCACCTGTGACCTTCCAAAGGTGCATGATGCACGTATTCTCTGACCTTATTGAAGAGAAGGTGGAGGTTTTTATGGATGATTTTTCTGTCTATGGCTCCTCCTTCTCGGATTGTCTTGCTAATTTGTCTCAGGTTCTCAAGAGATGTGAGGAGACAAGGTTAGTTTCAAACTGGGAGAAGTGCCACTTCATGGTTCAAGAGGGGATTGTACTTGGGCACAAGGTCTCAGAAGCAGGAATAGAGGTGGACAAAGCCAAGGTGGAGGTCATGGTGAACCTAGAGGCCCCAACATCAGTCAAGGGCATTATAAGCTTTCTTGGTCATGCTGGCTTCTATAGAAGGTTTATCAAAGACTAATTTAAGACAGACAAGCCTTTGAAAAGGCTTCTTTGCAAGGAGGTGGACTTTGTATTTGATGAGGAGTGCATGGAGGCATTTCTTAAGATCAACCAAGCCCTTGTGAGTGCCCCAATACTTCAGGCTCCTGACTAAACATTGCCCTTTGAAGTGATTACAGATGCTTCAGATTATGCAGTGGGAGCAGTCTTGGGTCAGAAAATGATAAGAAGTTGCATGTGATCTATTATGCAAGCAGGACCTTGGACTCAGCACAAGAGAAATATGCAACAACAAAAAAGGAGATGTTGGCCATAGTTTTTGCATTTGACAAATTCAGAAGCTACCTTGTGGGTTCAAAAGTTGTTGTGTACACTGATCATGCAGCCCTCAGATATCTCATGACTAAGAAGGATGCCAAGTCTAGACTTTTGAGGTGGGTTCTACTCTTGCAGGAATTTGATATGGAAGTGCAAGAGAAGAAAGGCATTGAA